GTTACTAGGAAATTACGAGGAAAATGGTTACTAGGAAATTACGAGGAAAGTGGTTACTACGACTTTACGAGGAAAAAGGCTTTACGATGAACGTGTTTCGACGAAACGCGTTTCCTCGTAAGTTCCTAGTAAAAGGCCATTTACTAGGAACTAACGAGGAAAACCTGCCCTAGTAATGGACGAGTTTTCTTGTAGTGAACACTTGGTACTTCTCAGCCTCGATGTATTCAAGTTTCTAAGTCTGCAGTATGGGAACCTCCTCCTAGTGATTGGATAAAATGAAATTTTGATTGTAGTTTTATTGTTGGACATGAGACTGGGGGAATTGGTTGGATCGCAAGAGACTGTCAAGGCAAACATTTGGGTTCTGGTTATGCTCGGGTTCAAGGGTTTAATTCTTCATTAGAAGGAGAGGCTTATAGCTTTCTATACGCATTACAACAAATGTGGATTCGAGGTTTCAAGAGAGTGTGGTTTGAAGGAGATAGTTTAGAACTGTGTAATATTATTAACAAAGTTCAAGATCATGTTGATATTAGTAATCTTCTTCATGAGATAAGGCATTGGATGAGTCTTCTAGCTGAAAGCTCTTTGGATTATACCAATCGAGAAAGGAACCAGGCAGCAGATCTTCTTGCTAAGAAAGCTATTCATCAAAATCAGTCGTCTGTTTTCTTTAATCTTCCTCCAATTTGGTTAATTCATTTATTGTATCCACCATTTACAATTTAAATTAATAAAGTTTTTAAGTGGTTAAAAAAAAAACTCTTAAATTGTTTATTTAAATATAATTTATAATATCAGTTAAATTTTATCAGAATAGTAAAAAATTTCTGCGTTTTTAAAGTGAGGACAAAAATCTACGTATCCTTAAGACTAAAAAACCCTAATTAACAAAGAAAAAAACAAACTAAAAACCCTAATAAAATTGACGAAACTACTCTGCTTTTTCGTCAATGACGGTTTATAGGATTATTTCGACTTGATGCTTTAATGTAAACCGAATTATAAGGAAAGCCGGATTGAACTTTATAAATCTGTAACTGCCTCTCTCTCGACGATAAACTTTGGAAAGTTCTCTCCGGCGAAGTATGGCTACGAAGACAATCATCAACGGCGTTTTTTTCAAGTCCCTCCCTCCAATGTAGGTTATCTCCTCCTCTCCTCTTTTCGAGTTATCTCCTCTCCTTTTACAATTTTGGCTGCGTTTGGATGTTCTCCTCGGGTTGGATTGATATTTAGGTTTTGGTTTGAAGCAGGAATCCGAAGTATTCTTCTCTCAGGAAACCTGGAAGCGTGTGTTTCTCCAAGCTCCCAATGGTTCCACGTAAGCTTGGGCATTCGGATATTCGATTCGGTTATGGATAGGAACCATTCGGTTGCGGGTATATCGGATAAATCATTCTTATACCCAATAGATACTTATGAGATTTCGGTTCGGTTGCGGTTTGGTTCTAGTTCGGTTGCGGTTCGGTTCTGGGTACCCATTTAATATATAAATCAAATATATATATATATATACAAAATATATTAGTTAATATGTTAATTTAAATGGTCTAGTGTTTACACGCTTACATATTAGTCAATCCGACAAGAGTTCGAATCAATAAACTGTTAATTTTATAAATATTTATCATATTTTAATATAGCAATACCATATATATTTATAATATAACAGAATAAATAAAACATAACGTGATCTGGTGGTAAAAATATACTTACTCTTTGTATCCAACATGGGTTCAAGTGGGCTTGATGTCATTTTATCTTATTTTTTAAAAAAATATAACTTGTTTTTGCGGATATTCGGGTACCCGTTCGGTTCTCGGTTCAGTTCCGGTTCTGGTTCGGTTTTTCGGATAAAGAAATATAGGAACCATTCGGATATTTAAGAATTTCGATCCGGTTTCGGTTTCGGGTATTTGGGTTCGGTTCCGGTTCGGTTTTTTGGGTTCCGGTTTTTTTGCCCAGGCCTAGTTCCACGTTTAGGTAAGGCTCTCAACACGAACCGCTCTGCTGATGGCTTCCCAAGATCGGCTCCAAGAAACCTGGGGCGCTTGAGAGCATGTGCTAGAGATGAGGAGAGCGAGAAGAGACCTACTACGAGACCTACTACGCCTTGGCACCACCAGTTCTTCAGCATTCTGAATCTCTTGATTAGGCTTTGTTTCTTTCCTTTTTTCATCTGGTTCGGTGGTTTTTGGTTGATGTTGATACTGATTGGTTTCATTTGGTTGGGTTGTTTATGGTGGATGATGATATTGATGATACTTCGTTAACAAGCTATTAGTACTCAGTTGCGTAATACTCTAATTGATCCAGAACAACTAGAAAGCTCAACTATATCAGCAATCATCTATAGAGTTATCATGGTTAACCAATCTTGTTGGATGTAGTAATCAGTATTTATTAGTTAGGTTTCAATAAAAAAAGAAAAAGGAAAAGTTGGGTTCTACCTTGTGTCTATAGGATCAACTCATATCAAGGTTGGACCAAGGTATCTCAATTCCATTATTATTTTTGTTATTTTTCAGAAAAAAATTGACACCTAACCGCGAACTACTAATCCACAATATCACAAATATTAAATTCGGGGGCAAAATTGAAGGTTTAAATGATAGAATCATTCTATACTGCAATCTGTCTAATCATGTGGTAGTTGGCAAAAAATGTTGGAACCACAATGTTTTTTCTTAGTTTTGTAATCAGTCAGATTCGTGTGGATGTACTCTGTCTATACAAGATTGATATAAACAAAATGCAAGATCTCTTCAGCCGAAAACGTTTTGGAATCACACACAAATGATGTGTTGTGAGAATGAGATTTGAAAGATAATATCATGTGTCATACAACCTTACCAAAAGTCCAAGACTTATTGCTCTTCAATGGTCTACTCCATACTAATCATGTTATGTTTTCTTGTACTAATTTCATACTTTCATTGCACATGTGAAACAATCATACTTGCGTTTTCTTTTGTTTGTCTCGCAAGCATCCAAAGATGCAATAATACACGCAACGTGTGGTAGAAACAACCTTTATTTCTGGAGCTGGTCAATTGATGTATTGACCAATAACAGATCACAATGACTTGGGTTACAAGCAAATACACACACACTGTACAAAGACAATATGATTCATAACTTTTAACAATGATATTATTGGACAACCGAAATTGTCCAAAATAAATCAAAAGAAAACACTTAGAACTTTTTGTTTAAATATTCTTCAAGCTATTCACTGACTACTGCAGAAGCCCAAGAACCCAATGAACTCATGGTTGTGTATCATCTTTATGCTGTTGCCTATCCCAATCACTCCCATTGTGAGAGCACTAGCGAAAATGACTCCCGAGAGAACAAAGACAATGATGGAAGCTCTTCTAAGGATAGCCACAATCTTTCTTATAAAGAACTGTCCCCAAAAACCGGCAAGAATCGATACTAACATCAAGTACAATGCTGCAAATGAAACAAAAAAGATCCATCACAGTTTCTTTTCTTTTCTTCCTCTTGTGTGCTTTTTAAGAGATCTTACCGTATGGTATTGGGAATCTCTTGAGGAGATAGAACTCAAATACAGATAAGGACGACGAAAACATCATCACAAATGTAGCTGTTGCACTAGCAACCTGTAGGAAAAGAGATCAAGGAAACAAGATGATTGGTTTAAATTTAGATCAATCTATTTGGTAGGTTCATGTTTTGTGTGTACGTACCTGTGGGATGACTCCAATCTCAAGAAGCAAAGGACCAAGAACAAATCCACCACCTGATCCAAGGAGACCACCTACTATGCCTCCAGTGAGTCCACAGAGAGCACAGAAGATAAGACTCAGAGGAGTCCACTCTATAGTAGCCTCACAGATTGATTCAGTGTTGCCACTGCTTACCCTCTTCTTGTTCTCTCTGAACAATCTCTCTGCTTCAAATCCAAACACCGCGAAAGCAACTGGGAACTGTAAGACGAAAAGCACCCAATATGTTGTGCTGCATGCCTTAATCTCGTTCTGTATATATAAACCCGAGAGTTAGACTGATGATAAGTCAAATATCAAGAACCAAAGAAGCTACAAGAAGAAGAAGACTTGCCTTGATAACTTGGATGAGCAAGAAGGCTAACCATACAGTCACCAAAACCAAAAGCCGTTTCCACTTTAGGTTAGACCTTATTATTTCCTGAAAGTAAGCAACGGTTCTTGAATATTTTTATGCAAGACTTGATGAAGAGCCAATAAATCAGTTTCCATACTTACTAGTTCTGACTTCTCTTCTCTAGGGTAAAGCGGCTTATACTCTGAGTTGATTAAAACTGCACATAAGCAACAAGAGAGTAGACAGAATGTGGTGAGTTTAAGATTAAGAACATGAACCACAAGTGTGAGGTTGTACTTACGTTCTTCCTGGGAGTTAACAGTGGAACCTTGTTGCTTCTTCTCCATTTCATTCTGTTAAAAATACACAAAAACATTCAGTGAAACCCCTCTCACATAAGAAACAACATTACTTGCTGGACACGTAACCTAACCTAACCTTTAACAAAGTCTCCTCCTTCCACATTTCAATGCCTTTGAAAAAAGATCTTGAAGAAGTACCAACGAAAAGAATGATGATGAGGACAGTGATGAGCCAGTAAGGGAAGACAACACTTAGAGAAACACCAACAGTGATGCCGAGAAGAAGCATTGGTTGAAAGAGGAGAGCAAGATCATAGTCTAAGATGGGTACTTCTTTTGTTGGATGACGAACTCTTACGTTGTACCAAACTGATGATGCAGATGCTCCCATTATCATACCTTTTTCACACACACACAAACAACATCAAAACCAAACTCACATCATCCAAACAATTAAAAGAGTTAAACATGATCTCTCTCTCTCTCTCTTACATTTTGAGATTGCAGCTGCAGATTTTGTATCAAACCCAAGAATGAGAGTGAGCATAGGAACGAATATTCCACCGCCTCCAACGCCACCAACCGTCCCACACGCTGATCCTAAAAACGCTATTATAGTAGCCACCACAAGTTGCCAGCTAAACTTCAGATCCTACCTTCAACAATGTATTCACACATAAGAAATCTGATTGAATAATTTAAATTGTCGACCAAAACTTGGTTTAAGAATATGGCTCGTTGGTAAAAAAAACGCATTAAAAAAAAAACAAAAAGACAAAAGAAGTTAAAAGTCAACTTTTAGATTCTTCCAAGCTCGTGGGGGTGTAATGAAACGTAAGAAAGTCTAATATGACCAATTATATTAATCAACACGCATCTGTTTATTCAAACTGCTTAGCTGTTTTTTTTATCCACAATGATAATAACGTTTATCAAGTAAATAAAAGCGAGGGCATATATATAAATTTTGAAGAGACAAGGATGAAGCTCTAGTTACCGGCCAAACTTTTACGATCACAGAGAGTGGAGAAGAGGAAGAGAGATGATGAACGCTAGGGTTTGTATCTCCGACGTAAGAAACGGAGAAGATGGCGACGGAGAAACCCACGAGAAGGTAGACGAGAAATCCTCCGGTGCCTCTTTTCATCGAGAAGCCCATGTTTTACGATATAAACTCTAACTCTTGTCTTAAAAGCACCAATAAAAGTGAAAAGAATGAAGATTTGAGGTTTGGTGTTTTTCTCTGGTCGTGAAGCAGAGACAAGTGTTTATTAAGCAGAGTTAGAGAGGTGAAGACGGGAGAGATATATTCAACTATACTCGTGCCATCTTGCGTATGTTATTACAATTCTTCTTTTTGTATCTTACACGTGACAGTTTTGAATCCATTAACAAATGGAAAGAAATAGAATATAAAGAAAATTAAAGAAAATGCCTTATAGAAAATAAGAAATTATGGTGTTCTAGAAATTGGATCAAAACGAAATGGTTTTCATAAAACGATTTTTTAGTCAGTTGTTAATACATTCAAAAAATCTTTATATGCCTTGTCTAAACAAATAATATTTATAAGAGTCTAACTATTATCTATGCCCTTGCCTAAACAATAATATTCCATAAGGATCTAACCATTATCTATCTTAGATAGGAGAAAATCTATGAATAGAATGATTAAACTATTTTTTCAATATTTTCTTCTCTAGTCGAACAACCAATGACGGCCCTAAGATCATTTCCTTAAACATTAGGATGGTCTTACCTGGAAATTAATCGAGATAATTTTCAGTTTTTTTTTTTGTATTATTCAGATAAAATCAAGAACCGACGAACATCACATCATTAAACAACATATCATATACTGTATTTACTAGGACTTGCGCCTTGCGCATGGTGAATATATGTAATTAAAATATAAAATTTTAGTATTGATAAATTTAAAATTTACATATGATTGTTTTTGTATGTATTTGAAATTTAAGAATTTTGAAATTTTTATATAATTATCAATACGTAAGATCAGAAACAAATTTAGTTAAAAATGTAGATCAAATCTTAGAATTTAATGGATATGATTTCATATATCTTTTCACTTTTCAGTGTTCGAATGATGAAAAATAAATGGAGTGCCACTGGACTTGATTGGTAGAGTATTAGCAAGTTCCCTAATGGTTTTTAAGAAGCAATTGGTAAAATATTTGCATTTAAAATATATAGTTTTAAAACTAATTTAATATAATTTATTTATTTTTCTAATAATATTAGAAAATTATATTTTTTTACAAATTATTATTTTTAAAAAATAATTTATAAAAAATATGTAAAATTTTAAATTATTTTTGAAAACAATATTTTAAGTTTTTCAAATACAAATAAACAATTTAAAATTAATTATGGTCATGATTTAACATAACCATAATGATTTAAAAAATTAAAAATTAACTCAGTTTTATATCATTATTTAACAATTTAAAAATTAATTATGGTTATGAGAAGTTTACGTTCACGTGTCAGTCCTATTTATCTTCCATTTTTCTCTTGCTATGTTTTTTTATATTTTGGTTATTACTCGATATAAATATTTATTTTGAATTTTATTCTCATTTCGTTTGTTTTAAAAAATACTTAAGATTTAAAATAATTAAAGAGATACATATTTAGGTTAAGATCTGCACTTTATGCACAATAAGTATTTTATATTTATTATTTATTTTATATTTTCTGCATATTATAAATAATAAAATAATAAATATATTAAATAACTAAGAAATCAGTTACTATTATGTAATAAATTGGCGTATGCATATAAATTTAACTATTACTCTTGTTTATTCACAATTAGGGTAAATAAATCAAAATAATCAATCTTATATATTGTATATGATATATAATTAAATTTAAATGATATAAACATAGTAATATAACACACTTTTAATATAGATATTTATTAAATGAGGTTTCTAATCATATGATTTTATGATTATTTGCATATTTGTGTAACAAAACTTTACACCAACGAATTTTTTTAATGTGAGATATTTGGTAGTTTCAATAATTTATAATCATTTAAAAAAAACAATGAAATATGTTCATGAATAGATACAAATTAATCGTCTCTTTATGGAATAACTAAATAAAAAAAGTTTTGAAAAAACTCACGAAATTTGATAGGGTGATACCGTGATCAACCAAAAACTAGAGTCTTGAATTTGTTTTTCTACATTTCCAAAACCATTGTCTTGATCCATAAGCAGATAGAAAAGATACAAAACAATGCCGATGTCAGTGATTGGTAGAGATTTATCCTCATGATTATGCAAGAAAAGGCTATCGAACCCATGTGGATGTGGTGGTGCCTACCTTCAGGAACAAGACAAACCTTATTTGTTTTCATACATGTCTTTTTATGCAACACTAATCATTAATGAATCAGTGACTGTTGTTCGCCGGATCAAAACAATAAAACTCACATCGTCTATGCATCAAATGATCAGTTATTAGTTTGAAGCTTCATAGAAACATTCTTTCCATCATAATCTTATACCAAAACAAGCTTTTTATTGTTACGAAAAAACTACTAGTATAGTCATAGTCTATATACATAGTCTAGTAGTGGCATGAACTTAGGATCAGTGACAAAAGAAAAAGGATCAGTGACTCTGTGACCAAAAAAAGGATCAGTGACTCATAAATTTCAAAACTTAAAATTTGTTCGAACTTAAGGGAACCATTAAGATCCATCCGAAAAGCATATTTTGTTTTCTCGGGCCCAATATAAGCCGTCTCTTTCTGAGCCTCATCAACCATTCGTTCAACGTCGTTGAATGTTTGATCCGACGCCTTCAGAGAAGTCACCATACTAGGTTTTATATCTTCGACTATGACTTCAACCACCGTTCTCCCCGTGCATCCATGTTCACACACCGCACATCTCCTTCGTAATGCCAGATTGCATTGTCAGTTTGCTCTTTATGGCATCCGCCACATTGTCTAATGCACCAAGTATTGTCCCCTTGCTTCACTTCCCCTACGATAAGTATATCCCCAAATAACTCAAATCCATCAAACGTTAGATAGTGAAATATTAAAACAACAATTAATGCATGTTATGTTACTTCGTTATTTTATCTAACAGTAGCATAATCCTCCACCTAACCGTCAAGCTTTTTCAGCTAACGAATCAGTACGCTCCCTGGTCCTTTGAGATTAATGGTATTTAAAATATCTATTTGATTTATGTTTTATTCAGTTGTTGTATGTGTCATCAGGCCTGTGTGTCATTGTGGCTTTGATTCAAACTTCTCCTTTCTTCTCTCTGGCTCTCAGTGTATTTCAAAAAGATGATTACATCATAACATATCTCAAATATAAACAACTTTATAAACATAAATCAAAGATATGATTAAGCATGTGCGTTTGTACCCCAAACCCGAATTCGATACCTTAGCCCGAACAAAAAAAAAAAAAACTGGATCTAAACCGTTTTACAAAAATATCTGAACATGACTTGATAGCTTGATAGTTCGGAGTAGGGTACCACTCGAACCAAACCAAAATTCAAACTTAGATTCGACTACATCCAAAACTAGTGAAATATGTTACTATTTTTATATGACTTATTTTGAGTTCACCTCCTATGGTGAACTTGTAGGTTCACCAACCAATAGTATTTTTTTATTTCTTTTTTTAAAAAAAACTATTGTCAAGTATTATGTTTTTAAAATAAAAAATAAAATAATAGTTGCAAGAACAAGAATTTCAATTAAATATTTTTAACACCGTCAGCAAAACACTAAACTCCAAACCCTAAATTTTAAAATTAAACCCTTGGATAAACTCTAAGCCCTCAGATGAATTCTAAACCCTAAATCAAAAATACTAAACAATAAATCTTAAATACACTAATGTTTTAATCATAACCTTTAAACCCTTGGATAAAAATAGTAATAGTTGCTTACAAAAGGAACTTTTTTAAAAATTTTTAACACCGTCAGCAAAATAAACACTAGATCTTAAACACTAAACTCTAAACCCCTCAGATAAACCATAAATCCTGGGATTTATAATTTATCCAAGAGTTTAGAATTAAGGGTTTAGTGTTTTTAAAATTAAGTGATTGGATTTGGAATTTTGGTTGTTTTTATTAATTATTGTTTGAGATTCAAATGGATTTTTTATTATACTCAATTGAGAGTGTGACTGCTGAAAGTATTTTCTCTGAAAATACTTTGCTTAAATATTACTATATTTTAAAAGTACTTTGTCTATTTTTAATAAATTTTAGTTGAAAATATCATTGATTAAATATTTTTGGTTGATAATTATTGAAAAGTATATAGTAAAAATAAATAATAAATATTAATTATATTTTTAGTATGCATTAATACTCTAGAAAAAAGCTGGGGAACTGAGGGAATATTTTTTAGACTTTTTCTTTAGGTCCTCACTGGAGGCCTAAGCTAGGTTTCGGCTATATATGGGAGGATTTAGTGTTACAATGCAACATGGTTAGATAAGGCTTCTGTAAAAGAATACAACGAGTTTAAGATTGGTGATTTATAGAAAATTATTACTTTAAGAAAAACTAGATCATAACCCGCCCTACTGGGCGGGTCTTTTTTTTATGGTATATATAACATTTGAAAATTACAATTTAATGGTTCTAATTTTACTAAGTATTAAGTAATAGTCTACAGTTTAAACATTGTTTTTTATCACTGTTTTGTATAACATGGGCGATGTAAAATGTTGTGACCCGTAAACATTTTAGTAATAGTTTATAAAGTTTTTTTTGGCTAAATTTGGTGCAAAGTTATATACACTAAATAATTTAGTCAAATTTTAAGTTAATTTTTTAATGAAGAATTGGAAGGCTAGTATATCACTGTTTAAAAACTTATAACAATAGTCAATATAAATTATATAAATAAAATTTATATTATTCTTGATTTGTTCTAAATACATTTAAAACATGAATACATATATGTATAAATAATTTTCAAAAGTAAAGTAATATCAATGATAGAAAACCCAAAAACAATAATAATAGTACATTGGACCACAATAATCTTTAGTTTAATAAATAAGTCCATTACATTTGTAGGCTATCCTTGTTTCCAATCATCATAATTTTAAATATTTCCTATTCATGTTTCCAAACAC